TGGTTAGGATGCTTTGTACGATTACCACAGGGGATCTGGATTATGTGAAATCCCGAAAATTTTTGCCGAACGATGGGCTTGGTCCCCGCAGAGTTGCATTAGCCGATTTTAAGCATTTTAGTGCTTGTTTTCCACATTTCTCTACTTTGCTTATTTCAGCCTGTTTTACCCCGTAATTTCCCTGATCTACTTCATGCCATCCCCTGCTATCGTGTGTCAGCTGGAGAATGCGACGGAGAATATCATGAGATTCGTTCTTGTGTGATGAGAACTATGCTCTGGCAAACAATGGCGGCACACCGACTTTGAGCACATGAGTTCGGTGCATCAGCTTCAGTGCTTTGGCGCGCCACCGTGGCGTACAGCCACACGCCAGCTTTCAAGCTGGTTTGTTTTCACGCCTATCGGCATCATCCATCGGGAAAGGGTTAAGGAGACAGGCTGTGTAAGGGTGTTGTGGACTTCGTCTGAGCAGTGACGTGCAACAGACATTTTTGTCATTTCCTGGCAAATAGGAGGCCGTTGCAGATACATCTGTATCGTTTCCTACTCTACTTTTATACCCTATAAGATGGCAGTGTTCATTTTCCTCTATCTCTGTGTCAACCATTAAAATTCCATCTCCTAGGCTAACCATTACTTTAAATTTGTCTGTTGGAGGCAAATTACCTCTGCATCAGTAGCTACTAAGCCTATGTAACATGTAAAATACAGACACCAGTATCACAACATTTTGAACTGGTTGCACTGTGGGCAACGAAGGCCCAATAGAATCGACATGGTCTCATTGCCCTGCCGGCCCTGACAAGCTGTCTGAACGTGCAAGACGAGGAGTGTCGGGCACAGCTTACCGCTCGAGTTCGTCATTTCCAGGGCAAGAAACCAGTCAGTGTTACGGCAGTTCTTTTAACCACTTGGTGCTGGGTGATGCCGATCGGCGTGCAAACAAAACGCTCGAAAGCTGGCGTGCAGCCAAACGAGCCTGCAGCGCGCCAAAGCACGGCAAGCCAGTGATTTGGGCTGATGTCCCCTACTCACGCGCTCAAAGTCGGTGTGCCGCCTTTGTTTGCTTAAGCATAGAGGTTTTTTTTTTTTTTTGTACACCCGGTGCCATTGGGTTAACAGGCAATTAAGAGGGTACAGACTGTAGCTTATTTTATCTTTACTTATTTATTAATTCATTTGATTGAAGGGGGGAGGAATAATTGAAAAACTTGGACTCCAAAGAAGCTCAAAATCTGGTTAAAAGATCACGAGTCGCATAACACCAAAATACCGCTAAATTACAAAACAGCAAATAAGAGAATTGTCAGGTATTTGCACGACTTAACATCTCTTGAGAATTGCAAAACATAAACAGCAAGTCACATAAAACCCATCGCTTAAAGGAAACGGCATTTGCAAGACCTCGGAGGTGAAATAACCTTCGTTCCCCAGAGTATATAACTAGCAAAGTAAATAGCAGAGTAGTAAATAGTATATAGCAGAGTAAACAGCCCGGAAACAACAGGAAAACGAGTTATATAATAAATAAGCCTCCACCGGCCGAGCACAACCGGCCCGGGATCGCTACGTCGTCTGCTATTTCACCCAAATTACTGCGCTAAACCACCACGAAACGGATGGAATTAATCACAAAACTGAAAGACAAATGCTCAATGAGTAATTCTACGTGACTTGATTTCCTCTTACGAATAAATAGGGCTTACCGGAGCGGAGGGCGAGTCGGGAGAGCATCGTCGTAACTGTCCGGCGGATCCCACGGCACTGAGGGCAAGATGGCGGCGGAGGAGGTCAAATGAGCACCTGAATGGGGAGAAACTTTTGAGGATTTGGAGTTTAGGGTGTTGTTAGCTTTCTGAAAACTGTATTAATAAGAGGATGATTGGAAATGGTGTTTTGCTTTATGATAAAGGCTAGATTGAAGGACATTTTTTTTTTTAACTTGATGGGTATTTTGGTGGTTAGAAATCTAGAATATTGAATTTCACGCAAATTTAAGAAAACTTGATAATAGATGCATTAATGATTTATTTATGATTTATTTATTTACTTATTATTTATTTAGTTATTCGACCAAGATTTCCCAAAAGGCAAAAGTATAAGATCCTAAACTCTCACCGAGCAGAGAACTCGATCCTTTATCTTTTACCAACGAATCCCTTTTAGATCGAGTAAGCCATAATCTTTGCGATCCTCCTTTCATATTTTATTTGGAGTTCGCCGCTTATTGCCAAGACCGTCAGCTGATCACCAAAACAAACCTTTTCACCAAAACATTGCCTGGAAATCAACAGCTGAGGGAAAAAATAGGTAAAATATCTCAAAATACATCACTTAGAATATATATCAATTAGTAAAATATATCACTTAGTTGAGCACTGAAGGCCGTATCTTCGCATTTTGTTCAAATATATAAGGTGTTTTTATTTGTTTTGATCGGGTGTACGTTGCTATTGGTATGGTGGGTAGGTAATATATTATTATTAAGTCTTCTCAAGACATAGTACGTTTATAGTATATTTCTAAGATATCGATAACGTTTATATAAAAATACACAGACTTATATCCATCAAGGGATTTAATCTAACAAAAATATTTCTTCAATAGAATTTTTCGATTTGGTACCAGTGTGGCATTTAAAACAAAGGCATTTTCTGTGTCTGAAATATTTTATGTACAGTCATTAATTTTGGTTATCAACTACTTTGATCACAGTCACAATGTCACACATATTGAGCTGTGGAGCTTCATCAGAATTTAAGGAAGTAATTGCTGCCATAGAAAATGGAGAGAGAGAGAGAGTAATAAAGAATAATTTTTTGATTATCATATACCCATTATATGCTAGATTAACCCAATGCCACCAGGGAAAACTATAAAAAGTGGGGAAAATGTTGCACTCATTTTTTATGTTTTTGGTGAAATGTCTGCACATAGATAGCTCAGCTAGTGCTTAGCCACAAAGCGGTCAATTAGTAGACCTTGTGACCATATCTGATTCGAATTGGTGGGAAAATTGTGTATTTTACGAGTGCTATGAATATCAATGGTGTTATTTTTATTATAAACATCATAATTACTTAATGTTATAAACATGAGCAACATCAAAATAAGATAACGTTAAATATTTTTGTAAATCAAAGAAAAGGGTAAACGGGCGAGACAGGCAGTGCTCATAATTGGCTCATTGGTGACTTAGTACAAGTGTAGCCATCTATGTGAAAAAACACTTAAAATGTAAACTCACAGTGGGCATGGCATACACGTACACATCATGCCCATCGGCATTGGGTTAAAGAAGAAAAAAAACTAATATGAAGCTTCCCTCCAGTGAATAGAAATGATAGAACTATAGCAAACTGGAGAAAGTGTGAAGATTAATAAAACGCAAGGATTAGTAGCTACATGCAGGATTATTCCATTACTTTAACCCCTTCACAACAGGTGACTCCTATAGGCGTGAAAACAAACCGCTCAACATGTGGCATGCGGCTGTATGCCGTGGCGGTGAGCCGGTGATTCGGCCTGATGTACCGAAGTCCCGCACTCAAAGTTGGCATGCTGCCATTGATTGCCAGAGCATATAGTTTTTTTTTTTTTAGTTTTCTTCACCCATTACCATTGGGTTAATAGAAACATGTGTTAACATGTTAACTGACTGATGATGTAGTTATCTGACATGATCACATTAACCCATTCGCGCCGGGCGTCACGTATACGTGACGGGCCCACTTTGAGTTTACTTGTTTGATTGTTTACAAACATAGATGGCTCCACTTGCACTTGTACTGCCTGTCTCGTCTGTTTACCCTTTTCTTTAATTTACGAAATTATTTTGCGTTATCTTATTTTCCTGTTACTAATGTTTATAACATTAGAGTAATTATAATGTTCATAATAAAAATAACCATCGATATTCATAGCACTAGTAAAAATACATTTTCCCGCCAAATGAAATCAGGTAAAGCAGAGCCATCTAGTGTAGAGAAATTTAATTAAAAAATATAAAAAATGAACACAGCATTTCCCCCATTTTTTGTTCATTTTTACCCAGCGCGAATGGGTTAAGTGATCGTCATATCCTTGATCCTCTATGTTCTAGCAAAGGCCATAAGTCCTCAACCATTTATATACTGTCTTTGGCTGATTCCATATCATACAATAAATTGCCACAGAGTTGTATGAGTTCATGTCTTGCCAAAATATACAGACAGTGATAGATTCTTTTTAAGCCTTTGTTGTAATAAGTACTTGTCACAGGATTGTGTTGTTTCCTTTGCAGGGGAAAATTAAGTTATCAAGCAGTGAATGTCATTTTTGTTCCAGTATGTGATAACTGGATATGGTTCCTGTGGTTCTATTATGGGTAGTTCTGGGAGAAGTAGTTCTTTATTCTTTTCTTTCCTTCTTTAGAATGCTGTTAAACATATATTTACAAACAATAGTTGCAGTACATAAGTCTAAAGTATATATATATATATATATATATATATATATATATATATATATATATATATATATATATATATATATATATATATATATATATATATATATATATATCTGTGTGTGTGTGTGTGTGTGTGTGTGTGTGTGTGTGTGTGTGTGTGTGTGTGTGTGTGTGTGTGTGTGTGTGTGTGTGTGTGTGTGTGTGTAACCTATGTATTTTTCTGTGTAACAGTTAGCTATTAGATTAGGAGGTTTTACTACTTTGTAACAGGGTGTAGTGTCAAGCCCATTATTGATTATCAAAATTGACCAATTGCCATGTAAATGAACAATACAGCAATCTGCAACAATATTTATTTGTTGAATCTCAAAATCCTTTATAAGCCATGAAATTTGTTATTCCTGTCTTTATGTCTGGCCATTCCAACAATACTGACTATTATTTCCTATACATTTCATGATATTCAATGCATTAATGAAACCCCTATTTTACTGGGGCACAATGATTTAACCTTCATACTATTGCCTCGGTACCACAGTATTTTTATTGAATGGATATTCCTCATTTTTTTGCAGCCTAAGAATGGGTATCTTCTTGTCATGCTGTGGTGGAGGCGGGTCCTCTAGCTACCACGATATGGACAGTGATCTTGATGCAGTAAGTGTGGCTTTAGGCTTGTAAAGAAAGAGTGACCCTTCTTTACATTGTATTTATTGGGATAGTGTGACTGGAAAGTTTAGATTGGACCTCTCGCTCTCTCTCTCTCTCAACTCTCTCTCTCTCTCTCTCTCTCTCTCTCTCTCTCTCTCTCTCTCTCTCTCTCTCTCTCTCTCTCTCTCTCTCTCTCTCTCTCTCTCTCTCTCTCTCTCTCTCTCTCTCTCTCTCTCTCTAACTTTCTTTCTTTCTTTCTTTCTCTCACCTTCCCTCCACTCCTACCTCTTTATCTCTCGACATCCTCTCTCTGATAAATAACAAGTAATCTGCTTCCAGGAAACACGTCGACGACAGATGGCAGAAGCTGCAGAAAACCGTCTAAAGGCTCAGGAAGGTCGCGGGATCAGGGACCCGGCTGCACTCAAACAACGACAAAAGCGAATGGAAGAAATCGAACGAAAACAAGAAATGACGGGAGGCAACGACGGTGGACTTCGGGTTAGTTCCTATACAGTTATTTGAGTTGCTCTACTCGCATACCAATTCATAGTTGCATTTTCTGTATTTACTTGTATATAGACTTTGTATTTAGACATGTAGGAACACTAATGCTATGCACACAACGCCAGTTTCACATTTAACAAGTTTTCACAAAATCATAAATACATTATTTTCTTATTTGCCTTATGACTTGCTGTAATGATTGTTGTTACTAATAGAAAAATGATTAAATTCTTATTACTTTTTCCTTACAGTGGCAAGTTGGTTAACAGTACAGAATTCAAGTTGAAGAACCTCTAATACCTATACTGGGAAATGTCTCACTAGCCTGTGTTCAAGATTTATATGTATTTTATCTTCAAGGATGGAAAATAGCCTTACGTTTGCCAAGTTTTTTATTTCACGAATCTCTTGTTAGGGTTCTCAGTCCCCCCTACCTATTGCATTGGAGTATCGTAGAATCTGAATATCCACGTAATATAGTTGTCATGATTGTATCCTTATACCTGATACTTCTCCAAACACTTATTTTATAAGGTCCCCCAATTTTTTTTGTCATGAGGTCAATCTGAGGAAGAGGAGTATGCTGTAAGTTACATGAATATGACGCCGTGTTTTATGTTTGATTGTAGAAGTCATTGTCCATAGATTATGTCATACACATCTGTTATATCAGTCTATTTCTAGATATTGTAGCTTTTATGGGACACTTGGTTTAGACAGGTTATTAAAAACTAATTGTGGTTGGTACAATTTTTTTTCATGTGTTAACTTGATGATGGCTTTGTGACTGACTTGGTATAGATATTGCCCACACAGTAAAAACCTTGTAAATAACGATAACAGTTAAATAAATCAAACAAATATATATAGATATAAAGAATGTCACACAGAACAGATGTGAGGTTTTATAGCCAGAGTTGTATATTCAGTTTCTGATTTACAGTTTAGTTGAGCTTCCACATTGACTTTCAGTTTTTTTTTTTAAGTTGTGATGTCTTTCCAAGTGTTTTATTCCTGGAGAGGTGTTTTCAGGGTCTCTCCAGAATGCTGGAAATTATGAGAGCTGATCTGGCTATTGTCTTCTAAGCAACTACAGTATATGAATACTTGTACTAAAAACATATGTGGGTAAAACATCAATTTACTGTCAAATAATGAATCAGGAAACTAGACTAAAGGAAATGATATCAAGTATATCAGCTTCCAATCAAATATTGATTTGCTGAAAGTTGTGAACTAGAAACTTGCTTGCATCACACACAAGATGAAATGCATGATATTGCCTAAATGTTATACCTCCTTAGATGACATTAATAGTTTAAGTTATGAGACAACAAAGATTACCAATGGTAGTTATTCAGTGTGCAATTATAAACAAACACGGTTAGGTAGAGAAACAAATTTTTAACCCCTAAAGGACAATATATGGTAATTTCCTTCTTCAAATATGTATGATATGCAGGACGAATGACAGCACAAGTCATTTTCCTTGCCAATTTCTTCATTTATATACTGTGGAGTTTTGAGTCTCCCTTTCAATTTATTTCAGTCGTGAGTGCACGCGCAGCTTTAACCTTTTCCGTCCTTTAAGGGTTAAGTTGAAGATTTAGTGTATGACATTACCATCGTGTTCATTCAAATTATATGTCTTGCTGTAGTTTGTTACATATACATTTATACATCTCAATACTGTATTGCACATATGTATTAATGTTTTGCTGGTGTTCATAATATATAAGATTATTTACTCTCTTAAAAGTATGTTTGTAATTTCAAGGACAAAAGTGCATCAGTAATTCCTTATGAAAGACAAGTCTGATAATGTAAAAGAGGTAGAGCAAGCATGAAAAACTGATGATGCAAGTTGCAACAGATTCAGATTGACACAGGGCGAGGGACTAAGGTGAAGGTGGCGCAATTTTTAATGATCATTTGCTTCGAAATCATTCTTTACAATAGTCCATGTTTTTAAAGAGCAGTATCAATACTTTCAGAAATATAATGGAACTCCTTTTTTTCTTTTCTTTTTTTCTTTTTTTTTTTCTTTTTCTTTGTTGGTAAGCTGAGTGTTATAACATATTGATCTGATTCTATGATCATATATAAATCACTGTATGTGAATTATCGTTAATTATGTTTTAGAAGATGAGAGTGCTATAATTTTGAGTGTGATTAATGTTCAGAGATGTAGACTCATGTAGATAAAAAATATTCTTAATATCTTTCATCATCATTGGTAATGAATAAAACCGGGTACTTATTTATTCATTTATTCTTTCTTATCTGCAAAATAGTCTCATGTTGGGTACTTATTTATTCATTTATTCTTTCTTATCTGCAAAATAGTCTCATGTTATGGGAATTAATCACCAAGATAGAATATGAAATTAGGGACAGATAAAAAGGGGAAATGTGCCATTTAATGTTAAGTGGTAGAAACCAAGAAGAGATTTGATTGAAAAGAAAATAGATAAGGCAGGAAATGTGTTATATTATTTCAAGTGGCAGATTTGATTTAAAAAATAGGAGCACTTTACAGGTTCACAAGTAGATAACTAGTGCCAGAATCAGGACATTAATTTCCATGTTAGCCTTGCCGATTTTACATAATTTGATTTGCACTTACCTAGAATTCTGAAACAGGTGTATCTTTGTCTATCTTCATATTTACTTTAATAGAAATGAATACAGAAAGTCAAATTTGCCCATTTTTGAAGGGTAATGTAAGCAAAACTATATTACATTGCAGGTTATACAAACAGTGACAGTTATTTATTCATGCAAGCAAAATGCCAAAGAACAAAGAATTTTGCAAATAGTATTTTGTATTTTTATATGGATTCTTATGAATCTGAGCTTTATACATGTATTTTATATACCTTTCTATCTGTGCTATTTTCAACACAGAAGTTTGCTAATACAGCTCTTCTTTCCACAGTTTTTTGGTCTACATAATTTATATTTCTGGATGTGCAGTCAGTAATGTTGTTTGGTGTGAACATAAATTGCGTTATGGATTGTCTAAGACAGAGATTGTTCATTTTGATTTAGTTGAAGAAGCTGTAAAAATGGCATGGGTACTTATTATTATTATTATTATATCCTTGTTTCCCACTTTCCATTGAACAAAATATATCAAAGAAGTACTAAAGCATTTTCCATTCTTGTTTTCAAAATGATGTAGTCATTAAAGCTTATTTTAATCTTGAAAATGATTATGTAAACTAGTTTTACCTTTTTTATATAAAAATCAAGAGGAATTCGACTTTGTAGAATATATGATTATATATATTTTCTGACATAGATCCAGTAAAAGTAAATTGATTTTTGGACAAAATACCTCAATGCATTATATATTACATTGTCTTTTAAAGTGACAAGCCTTCCTCATAATGCAGCAAAATTCAGAGAACTGAATTAATACAAGTCTTTAGGGATGTTTGTAGCAAATAAGAAGTGTGCATTATACATTTTCATTAGCCATTATATATATATATATATATAGTAATATGTATCATTCCTTTTTACTCTTCACCCTCTACCAAAGATCGTATTCACCTGAAATAAAGCATGATTTTCTCTCTTCCATTCATTCCTGTCTTCACTTGGTATTGATTTTGTTTTTTCGTTTTATGGTTTGAAGTTCTGATTTTATATCCTGTACTTAAACACATTTCGTAATCACACATTGAATCACACTCACGGATAATGATTTCCCTGCTGCCTTATCATATGATTTTTAATACTTTCTTTATTGTATTATACATTGTGAGAGACAAAATAAATTATGTTACACTGTATATTTATGGTTTGTTTTCTAACTTTCTTATTTTGAGGGGTTCTAAGCCATATAAGTGTACTGAAGAATGTAATGTTCAAAGACATTTTACTACATATTTGGAAAAACTTTACTTGGCATAATGAAATAAAATAACCAAAAGAAAATTTCTGATTAAATACTTTGCACAATATATGCAAGATACAAAAAAAATGGGAAATACAAAAAGTGAAAGAATTATATCTATGACACAAGGACATTTTGTATTGTGCATTATGTAAAGCATTAATTTTCCGATGCATAATAGCAGATAAGTGCATGTGTGTGCATTTGTTTGTACTCATGGCAGTATACTCATTGTTGTGCTTTAGTGATATTTACTCTTTTGCTATATTGTCTATTTGGCACTCCTTAATACTGAACACTGTCCTCCTATTATAATATTTAGTACAAATATTAAGTATCTGTACAGCCAATATGAACATAAATGATATTTTGAGCCAAGTTAAGAGAAGCACTGCAGTTGATACACTTTAGGCTGTACCATTGTAGTTAGTGTTCTGTTATCAAGAGAAAAGTTTTATTACTGATATATTTCCTAGGCGTGTTTTGGGTTATTTTTATTTCTTGCAACCTAATTCTGTTATGTATTCATATTTCTGGCTATTGAGTTGCCAGAAAGACAGATATAACTTGTGCTTTTTAACTGTATTTTTCTTACTTTTAGGAAGAATGAAATGAAATTTTCTATAAACTCCATTACTAATTCTTATTATCTTATAGTATCTTTGGTTTATGTATTTAAACTTCTTTGTACTTAATATTTTACTCTGTAAACTACCTGCAGGAGATCATTTTTCTGTATTCATGAGTAGCTATACGTGTGAATGTGCTTGTGTGTGTGTATTCATAAGTGCATGTCTGGGTACTTGTACTTGTGGGCATAAGGGAGAGCAAGAACAACTTTGGTTAAGATTTCCGCACATAAGAGTCACAGTTCCAGCCCATACTTTACAATGGCATTATACACCCTTGGGCAGTTCATCATAGCAGCCTCCCCCAATAGGGTTTTATTCCCAAGAGGAACTCTACTCTTTGAGGTATGGGAGCTGTACAGATGCAGGAAATATGTATCATTTTGACTCGTGAAGAAGGTCAGTGCCTTTCCCTTCTTCTCTAGGAAAATGTAGTCCAACTCGTTGTAAGGAGAGAAGGGATAGAGGCGATGTCGTGCAAGAATAGTCACATTACCACATTTCACATCTGTTTCAGTAATGTTTGGGCTATTGGTGACGTCATCTGGACACATCTTGTGCATGACATCATACAGGAGATATGGTCCAATTCTGCAACAGCTTGTGGGATCAAAAATTTTTGGTATAGATGAAGCTACCATCTGAAATAGTGGATGAGGGTATTAAGTACCATGTTTATGGTGTGAAAGATTGGTCAGAATCATTCTGCAACTACATTTAATTGCAAGGTCATCTACACTATTGCATATTCTCATCTGCACTACTGAATAGTCTTACTTGCAATGATGGATGGCCTTTCACTAAGTTCATGGCAGCATTATTTATCTGCATTGAAGCATGCCACCCAAGCCAATTGCTGAAAGTTGGCAAAGGACGAAGAGTGATCATATCCAGGTCCAGGTACGTCCCACCATAGCGTTTCAACAATTCAATTCGACTGCTGTCTGACACAAAGGTTGATGACAGTGCTGGAAGAATAGAAATGCAGTAGAGCTGATGTAAAACAAAAGGCTGTAGCACCACTGAGAGTCCTAATAGTCTCAAAACTCCTTTGACTTTTATACCATTGCTTTCCAACCTGTGAGTTACACTTTCCTATGGAAAAGGTAGGATCCCTATTTAATACATTATCACCTGTAATTACCATCTCCATTTAAACTAAACATTTGGAGTACAAAAAGATATTGCTTAATTCTGTCTGACTAACGTCTTAATCTAGGGATAAAGACTGCCAAGAATGAAGGTATCCAATGAGGAAATCCATATAAAAGTACTCTTAGTTTCCTAACCTTCATTTAACATCCACTGACGTTCTCGGTGCCAGGTCATAAGGGGCTCTTCTTGGTACACGTGATCGAGGTCAAGCCATGAGGCATGCACATTGTCTAGGCCCAACACAACCTATGGGAAAAAAATGCAATGTGTAATAATGGATGCCTCAAGAAGAAGAGAAAGAAATATCACCAAAACTTTAAAACAGACAGACAGACATATGTGTATGCACACACACACACACACACACACACACACACACACACACACACACACACACACACACACACACACACACACACACACACACACATACACACACACACATACACATACACATACACACGCACGCACACACGCACGCGCAAACACACACACACACACACACACACACACACACACACACACACACACACACACACACACACACACACACACACACACACACACACACACACGCGCGCACGCGCACGCGCACACACACACACACACACACACACACACACACACACACACACACACACACACACACACACACACACCATGCCTGTCTACGAAATGAAACGTATTTAACAAAATAACATATAGTTTTGAGCAACAGTTCCTAACCTGGTGGACGCGCGCCATTGGGATGCGTCAGTAATTTCTAAGGAGGCGCGATCCCTTGGGAAAAAAACAGGAATTTCTCTTATTATATTTGTTATTCTCTTAACGAGGGTATGGCCAAATGATGAGAAGTTTAATATGACCCATTAATACTCAATAAAAGACATTGTTTAGGATTTTCTTTACTAGCTAGTGTGGAAATTTATTCATATATGCAAGAGGGCGTGGAGGTGTTTGTACTAAAAATGTTAAAAACCAATGTCTTAGAGGTTTGACATGAGAGCACAGCAATACTAAAGGTAAATACTAAATTGGCTTCCACATATTAAGGAGTCAGACAATAAGCTGTTTTTTCCTAACACACGCTTACAGATATTTTGGATTTTTTAAATATATTTTATGAAGACCTACGTTTAGTTGCTTCGGGTGACTCTTAGTTACTCGTTACGAGATTCTTGAAGAAAAACTGCGCTAAGAAGAGTTAGCTGAGACTAATCTATGAATAAATACCTATAACAAGTCCCTGGTATGAGGATACGGTAGGAGTTTGAGTCGCCTTAAGTACGCTGAGAGTTGAGAACCGCTGTTTTTTTAAAGCATCAATTGCCATTATACATAACGTGGGTGTAAAACAATAATGAATAAATTACTAAAATAAAGAATTATAAAAAAAATAATCCTACTAAACCAATGCCGCCCAAGATACCCTCCCTCAAAGTCTGCCCCCCCCCCCCCCCGGACCACGTTTTTTTACTTACAATTCTTTTACTAGATTTCACCTATATAGGTCCGGCTATAGCATTAAAATGCACCTGGCACCACATCCATGGCTAGTTGCAGTAGTAGTAGTAGTGGTAGTAGAAGTAACAGCAATAGTAGCAGCAGCAGTAGCGGTAGTAGTAGTAATAGCAATAGTAGTAGCAATAATAATGATAATCTATATTACAATTCTTACAATGGTTATTCTTAATGTGACAGGCTGTCTGTTTCATTTTGCTTCTAAATTACCTCCTGTGTGCAAAGTTACCTTCCACGCGCGGGAATTGAACGCGGGTCAGCAAGATAGCCAGACGGGACCGCTACCACTGCACCACACAGCACACTAGAAGTAGTAGTAATAGTATTAGCAGTAATAATAATAATTAGTATGCTGAGGTAGTAACAGTAGTTGTAGTATTAGTAGCAGTAAATGTAGTAGTAGTAGTAATAGTAGTAGTAGTAGTAGTAGTAATAGCAGTAGTAAATTTAGTAGTAAAAGTAATAATGGTAATAGCAGTAGTAGTAGTAGTAGTAGTAGTAGTAGTAGTAGCAGTAGCTCCAGCACCAGCAGTAGTAGCAGTAGTATTAGTGGTAGCAGCAGTAGTTGCAGTAGTAGTAGCGGTCGCCGTAGGAGTAGGAGCAGTAGTAGTAGTAGTAGTAATAGTAGTAGTAGTAATAGTAGTAGTAGTAGTAGTAGTAATAGTAGTAGTAGTAGTAGTAATAGTAGTAGTAGTAGTAATAGTAGTAGTAGTAGTAGTAGTAGTAATAGTAGTAGTAGTAGTAGTAATAGTAGTAGTAGTAGTAATAGTAGTAGTAGTAGTAATAGTAGTAGTAATAGTAATAGTAGTAGTAGTAGTAGTAATAGTAATAGTAGTAGCAGTAGTAGTGATAGTAGTAGTAATAGTAATAGTAGTAGTAGTAGTAGCAGTAGTAATAGTAATAGTAGTATTAGTAGTAGTAATAGTAGTAGTAGTAGTAATAGTAGTAGTAGTAGTAATAGTAGTAGTAGTAGTAGTAATAGTAGTAGTAGTAGTAATAGTAATAGTAGTAGTAGTAGTAGTAGTAGTAATAGTAATAGTAATAGTAGTAGCAGTAGTAGTAATAGTAGTAGTAATAGTAATAGTAGTAGTAGTAGTAGTAGTAGTAGTAGCAGCAGTAGTCGTAGCCGTACTAGTAATCAGTAATAGTAGTGGTAGCAGCAATATTAGTAATTGTAAAAGCAGCAGTAGGGATTTTAGTAGTTGTCATTTCTCACTGCGCCTGTTTCCTCTTTTATATTTTTGTACATTATACCGGTTTTGTTTTTGTGTTCCTATAAATATTTGTTGATTGTCTATCTCGCCTGCGACCACCAGGCAGGTCTTGAGTGTTTTGCCGCCGGAAAACACGGCCATTTGCCTCGTATCAAATTGCTACTAATTATGATAAGACATACAGAACTTCTCAAATCATTATCAAGATTGAGAGAGAGAGAGATAAGGCTTTATCTGCAGCGTCCTTATCTGCAATTACTTGCAATTCTTTTAATCTTTTGCTGCTGAGTTCCAAGTGATTTCAAGTTTTAGCTCCGCCCACACAGGCTTGACAACGTGTCCATTCATTGTCAACACGCATTGCCGAAGAGGTACGATACCAAATACTTCTTGTATTTAATTTGTAACACTTCATTTTGCCATTAAAGGAGTATTCAAAAGAACAATGAATTTGAATTAACGTACATTTTGATAGGTAGCAAGTGATCTTACGAATACAAGCTCCACAAATACTAAGGCATTACCATTTCTTTTGTTTTTCATATTGATATTAATGACATATGAAAACAATGATAATGATAATGACCATAAAATGGTAAGGGTAAAAAGATAATGGCAATAATAATAAAAATAATACTGACATGATATTGATCTTTGCAATAATAATAATGATAATAAAAGTAATAATTAT